CTTCCTCAACTGTAGTGTATGATATATGTTGGCAGTATGTTGTCGCTTTGGGTCCCTTCTGCAAGAGATGAAGACTCAGTGGTTCGTCTTGAGTGATCAGCGTGTGTTATTCAGCAAAAGTTCCTCTCAGGTGATTGTTTCTCTCGGAGTCGGATGGTAACAGTCAGAGTTAAGTTTCATTGAACCTGTAAGGTATTGGCCACACCTCCCAAAGTTCAGATCTGAAGTGTTTGTAAGCCTTGTACTTTTATAGACACTCACAGAAGGTGGGGTCTAACAGCCAGGCCATGTCATTGGGACTGCCTAGTTGAATGTAAGGATTCAAAAGTTTTAGTGTTCATATGAGATAAACCTGAGACTAAAGGCGTCCACATGCTTCCCAGACTAAACAGTTTGGAAGAGTTTGTGCATATATTATGACAACATCTTGTGACGTTTTTGTTAGTTTTGGACTTCGGTGAGGGGTTTTTCCGGCTGTTCGGGCACAATTTCTTTTCTGGAGGCAAGCTGAGGTTCGCAGCCCAATTCTATGCCCCTTCGTCAGTGATTGGTCAACAGTAGAGCTTTTTCAATAAAGTCTTTGTTGTCATTCAATGAGAGACGACTCGTTTTCATGGAATTTCTTTCCTTTACAAATACTTCACCAAACATCTTATTTAGATGTCAAATTGCGCGACTAAGATCTCCTCGGCAAAAACGTCAAAATTAATGGCAGATTTCTTGAGTTATCTTAGATTAATTTGGACTATTTTGAGGACGTGTATACAGGCTACGGCGGCGTCTCAAAATGGACAAACAGTACTATTGTCGCTTTTTTCTTGTTTTTCAAGCGAATAACTTTTATGGGAGTATTCGAGCACACTCGTTCGGTTCGGCTAGGCGCCATCCGAACTGAAGCATGCTGACTAACGCCTTTACTAATAAGTGTTCCCAGCAGGTTAAAATGTGCTTTGAACCAGAAAAACAATCTGCAGGATGAAATAAGTAGTTTACAGGTTTTAAACATGGTCATGATAAAATCTGTACCTTTCATATTACAGTAAAACACATATTACACTTTTAATACATGGAAATCAGAAGGAAAAATATCACACTATAGATTGGGTTCATACCAATCATGTGGTGAGCCATTCAGTTTAATACATTGTTTAGAACCATGTCAAGTGTCTCATGTTGCATTTGGCGCCATTTCTCTCCTTAGAACAAAGAAAGCACCAGGCCAAACATTTCACTCTTCCTGAGAGTCAACCCATTTGGCGCCAGGATGCTTTCATAAAATTGTCTACATTTGACCCCCCCGTGACCCTGTTGGGGTACTTAAGGATGTAAAAGGGTTCTGCTGACTGCCTCCTGACAACCAGCAGACCATTCCGAGTCGTAACAGGATGTTGGGGAAAATCAGTTGTTTGTCTTGTGATCAGCTTGCCAGGGGCGCTGTCAATTACAGGATCTGTAATTCTTGGTATGGAATGTCATGAGTTATCCACTTGTGGGCTCAATGACACAACATCAACAATGCAACAACAATAATAAATAGTAAAATATAAGAATACGAACATAAGTAAATGGCAGTAGAATAGAAAAATACATTTTTGCATAATTATAATACAGGATGGCACAATTTATAGTCCAATATTTACACGTATACTAGGGATGGGGGGGATGGGGGGGCAAGTGTATAAATTGAGCAGTATAATAAAAGTCTGGTAGCAGCAGTTGTGGTGTGTGTGTGTGTAGCATGAATGTATATGGGTGTGTGCATGTGTGATAAGTTGCAGAGAATCAGAGCAGGTGGTCAGTCCAGTTCAAGTGTTCAGCAGTCTGATGGCTTGTAGATGGTAGGAACTGAGTCCATAATAACGTAATATGTTTGCCTAGTTGGTATCAGACCTCATGCTCTGATACCGTCTGCTGGTAAGGGAGAGAACAGCCCGTGGCTGAGGTATGTGGCGTCATTGATGATGCTGCATGCCTTCCTCAGGCACCGTTTCGAGTATATGTCCTGGATGGGTAGGAGCACAGTCCCAGTGATGTAATGGGCCGACTTTACCATCCGCTGGAGGGCCTTGCGGTCATGGACGGAGCAATTCCCGTCATGGTGCAGCGGTAGTATTTAGAAAAGACCCGGGGTGGCATGTCAAATTTCTTCAGCCACCTTAGGAAGTAGAGACGCTGTTGCGCCCTCTTGACAAGGGTCAAGAGGCAAATGTTTGCAGTTTTTAATATGATAACTGATGATCAATATGCCCCACCCCGATCGGTAATTCGACCTACAAGTTTAGATAGCTGGCCGCTAGAGTAATTTACCAATCTAAAAATGTTTTGCTGATATGGGCTAATTTAAGTGACTACTGATGCACAACCAAATTTCGAAATTGCACCTTGTGTAGTCTATTATTCGAACTCTCATAAGTAAGAATAAAAAAAAATGGTGTAAAAAAACTCAACAGTAAGCATTTATTTATTATAATTTTTTAACGGTAAAAAGCCGGTTGCCCATCCCTGGTATACAGGGATCAAACAATACACAAGGATAAAACAAATGTGACCGTGTGTAAATGGTATTAAATGAGTGTGTGATTAAAAAATCGATAAAAATGCTTAAAATGAAGGAATACAACTGAATGCTGTAATTGAACAAATGTGCCGTAGCAAAGTTTGAGGCAAAAGAGGATTTTGATTCCTATGGAAAGTTGCAAATAGGACTACATCACCGTCAGTTTGGTCCTCCTAATATTTTTGGTTGAAGTTTGATTAAACATTATAGAACAATCAGAATGGAGAAAGCCCCACTAAAACCCCTTGGAATTCATTTGTTGCCATCCTACAGTCATGCACTACCCATAAAGCATATTTAGAATGTAAGGTTATTATTCAGAAGTATAAAATACCTTAATACTGTTAAAAATGAGAAAAATATCATATGACATTTAGGCCATATCCCCCAGCCCTAGAGAAACGTGTCTGGTCTACGAAATACATTGCGTTCGGAAATTATTCAGACCCCTTCCTTTTTTCGACATTTTGTTACGTTACAGCCTTATTCTAAAATTGATTAAATTCAGTGTTTTCCTCATCAATTTGCACACAATACCCAATAATAACAAAGCGAAAACAGGTTTTTAGAAATGTTTGCACATATTTATAAAAAAAAAAACAGAAATACCTTATTTACATAAGTACTGAGACCCTTTGCTATGAGACTCGAAATTGAGCTCAGGTGCATCCTGATTTCATCATCCTTGAGATGTTTCTACAACTTGATTGGAGTCCACCTGTGGTAAATTCAATTGATTGGACATGATTTGGAAAGGCACACACCTGTCTATATAAGGTCCCACAGTTGACAGTGCATGTCAGAGCAAAAACCTAGCCTTGAGGTCAAAGGAATTGTCCGTAGAGCTCCGAGACAGGATTGTGTCAAGGCACAGATCTGGTGAAGGGTACCAAAAAATAAAATGTCTATAGCATTGAAGGTCCTGGCTAGGCCACTCCAGGACCTTAATGTGCTTCTTCTTGAGCCACTCCTTTGTTGCCTTAGCCGTGTGTTTTGGGTCATTGTCATGCTGGAATACCCATCCACGACCCATTTTCAATGCCCTGGCTGAGGGTAGGAGCACAGTTCTCACCCAAGATTTGACGGTACATGGCCCCGTCCATCGTCCCTTTGATGCGTTGAATTTGTCCTGTCCCCTTAGCAGAAAAACACCCCCAAAGCATAATGTTTTCACCTCCATGTTTGACGGTGGGGATGGTGTTCTTGGGGTCATAGGCAGCATTCCTCCTCCTCCATACACGGCGAGTTGAGTTGATGCCAAAGAGCTCGATTTTGGTCTCATCTGACCACAACACTTTCACCCAGTTTTCCTCTGAATCATTCAGATGTTCATTGGCAAACTTCAGACGGCCCTGTATATGTGCTTTCTTGAGCAGGGGGTCCTTGCGGGCGCTGCAGGATTTCAGTCCTTCACGGCGTACTGTGTTACCAATTGTTTTCTTGGTGACTATGGTCCCAGCTGCCTTGAGATCATTGAAAAGATCCTCCCGTGTAGTTCTGGGCTGATTCCGTTCTCATGATCATTGCAACTCCACGAGGTGTGATCTTGCATGGAGCCCCAGGCCGAGGGAGATTGACAGTTATTTTGTGTTTCTTCCATTTGCGAATAACCACACCAACTCTTGTCACCTTCTTACCAAGCTGCTTGGCGATGGTCTTGTAGCCCATTCCAGCCTTGTGTAGGTCTACAATCTTGTCCCTGACATCCTTGGAGAACTCTTTGGTCTTGGCCATGGTGGAGAGTTTGGAATCTGATTGATTGATTGCTTCTGTGGACAGGTGTCTTTTATACAGGTAACAAGCTGAGATTAGGAGCACTCCCTTTAAGAGTGTGCTCCTAATCTCAGCTCGTTACCTGTATAAAAGACACCTGGGATCCAGAAATCTTTCTGATTGAGAGGGGGTAAAATACTTATTTCCCTCATTAAAATGCAAATCAATTTATAACATTTTTGACATGCGATTTTCACTATTCAAATAAACCTACCATTAAAATTATAGACTGATCATTTCTTTGTCAGTGGGCAAACGTACAAAATCAGCAGGGGTTCAAATACTTTTTTCCCTCACTGGAAATGTGATATTTCAGTTTTTTATTTTTAATACATTTGCAAAAATTTATAAAAACCTGTTTTTGCTTTGTCATTTTTGGGTATTGTGTGTAGATTGATGAGGAAAATAATTTAATCAATTTTAGAATAAGGCTGTAACCTAACAAAATGTGGAAAAAGTCAAGGGGTCTGAATATTTTCCGATTACACTGTATATTTCGATATGTTTATATCTGAATGCTCTTTAACCTTTTTACCTCACACAGACAAACGCACGCATGCACACACACACACACACACACACACACACACACACACACACACACACACACACACACCCTTTAATACCCTCTATTTGATATTTCAACTGCTCACTGTCCTCCCACCTGTAGATTTCTGCCAGCATCGAGGGAGATGTGGTGCTACAACGCCGTGATAGCCGACGCCCGTGTGCCCTCGGCCACTGACCTCCAGGCCAGCTGCAGCATCCTCAGCCCAGAGCTGGCACTGCCCGCCGGCTCCCACGCCACCACCACCCGCTCCCACGGAGCCCTGCACATACTGGGTATAATCAGAATGATGATACAAATATTACGGACCTCTTTCTGTGAGGATTTACTGAGGAATCATAGTGTAGCAGGTCCCTGGTCATATTCGCTGGGAACAAAATGGAAACGAGCAGGCTGAAATGGGGAGGGACTACCTGAACTTGTCCAATAAGGAACGCTTGTTTTTTGTTTTCCGTTGCAATACATTTTCTTACTTTTTTCAATGGTGTGCACTAATGAATATGGTCCTGATTTTAAGCCTGTACTGATTTAAGCAGAATCGACTTATTCAACAATGCCGTAGTATAAGGGTTTACTATTTGTTTCTGATTTGGCTAGGAGGGCATTCTAGAGTGGACATTACATTTAGGTATACGGGACAGTTGGAAAAGATATAGGACACCTCTGAAGTAGTGCTAACAATATGCAAATTTTTACCGTTCTAAACCATTACATCATGCAGACCGTACTTGCTACAAAGTTAAAGAAAGCTAAACCAACAACCAAACAAACAGAAATTGGATACATTGTAAACGGAGGTCCAATGAGGGAAAACTAGCTAGCATTCATTTGTTTTTGTAGAGATTGCATTAATTTCTCAGGTCTGTCAATTTTGCAGTCATGATGCAAGTGGTGCTATGCTGTCAAATCCTCCCACATGTTTCTAGTTTGAACAGCTGTTTTCAGCAACTGCTATTGTTGAATTCGGTTGTCATATTGGCAGATTTGCTAACAGACTATTTAGCTAGCTTTTAGCCTAGTGTTCGATATGCAATGTGATTTCCTCTACTGTAATGAACAGTGTGTCTGGACGAGACAGCAACTATTCTAAACCAGGCAAAATTGCGCATCATCAGCTTATTGTTATTTATGTATTCAAATAAATGTCACTAAAAAAACTGCTAAAACAAACGCAGATGCTGCTACATTGCAGTCATTCTGGCTGCACTGTTTGACGTGACTGTGTTAACCATAGTTTGGTAGCTAGCTAGCAAGCAAGGGATAGGAATGTTGCATAAGTATAACATAGATCAGAACAAAAATAATTATCAACTGGGTCGTATCTCTCTGGCAACCTAACCGATAGAACTAAAACGACCAGCTTTGGTATGAAGTATGAACTTATCAAAATGAAAATATCAAATCAAATCACATTTTATTTGTCACATGCACCGAATACAACAGGTGTAGACCTTACAGTGAAATGCTTACTTACCTTAACCAACAATGCAGTTTTAAGAAAGAATACCAAAAGGATTCACGAAAAAATACGAAATAAAAGTAACAAATAATTAAAGAGCAGCAGTAAAAATAACAATAGCGAGGTTATATATATCAATGAAAACATGTAATTTCTACTGATAAATGTGTGCTTTAGTATTGTTTTCTTTGGCAACCGTGGTATAAGCGGGATAAACGCCTCCGCTCTGTACAATTATTTTGGAACTAATGAACTCCGCTCCGCGTCGTCCATACCATATTGTACATTATTTTCAAGAAAATATAAACTTTATGCGTTTATCCCTTACATATGTTGTCCGTGTTGGCCAGGAAATACACAGTCAGCTATTTGATTCGTACTCTTTTACTATTTGCCTCAGTATTTACATTTAACATGGCTCTGGCAGCTCAGTGTATCAATGCAACTATTGGCCAAATGTATGTTGCTTGATATCAGTTGTCCCGGACTTGTCACTCTGCTGTCACTGTCTCTCTTACTCCTTCCCTCTCTCGCTCCTCTAAAGCACTTTATTTTGACATAATTTTATTTTGACAGCTATTGAAAATGCCTTTAGTACTTAGTGTTAGATCTTATTTATTTAATCTTATTCTCTCAGGGCATAGGAACATTATACATGTGCATACTTGCAGAAAGGCCTAGTTATAAGAAAAGCATTATTATTCTGTACCACTTTAGCACAGTGCTATGATAGCAGTACTTCCAAGCTCTTATAAAAAGCACAGCAAAAATAGACAAAACAATAAACAGAGGTTTCCATTCGTCTGATGAATGTCCCCTGTGTGTGTTGTGAACAGGTTGCCTGGATACGCTGGCGACCATGCAGGAGCTGAAGATGGGTGTGACCAGCACAGAGGAGGAGACTCAGGCCGTTATGAAGGTCTACTCCAAAGAAGACTACAGCGTGGTCAACCGCTTTGAGAGTGAGTCCTCAGTCCACACACAAACATTCACACATGGGATTTTTCCCGATGACTAACAGGAAATCATGGTTTTCATTTCTCATCTTCTACAGTATTTGTCACACTCAGCTATTTCTCTTATCCCCTTTTCTCTTATCCCCTTTTCCTGATTTTGGTTTGATTAATTGATTTACATGAAATTCCAGCCAGAGACAATATACTTATATATATTACATATACTTCATCACCAGTGATACATTAAAAACGTGCCAATTCAAGCTCTGATTAATTCAAGGATTATTATACAAATTATTATAATTCAGGGTTGCATTAATTCAAGGATGCTTTAGGAAGTATTTGAACAGCAGAGCACCTTGTACTCTACTATATGTTCATATGGCATATTGCAGTGACTGGGCACTTCTAGGACCACCCATACGTAAAAATGTATGCACGCATGACTGTAAGTCGCTTTGGATAAAAGCGTCTGCTAAATGGCATATTATTATTATTATTAGTAAAACTAACCTCATTGTATTGTTATGAGTACAGATGATGATGCTGCAGAGCTGACTTATCGCAACTTCCTATGTAATGTCATAGGTCACGGGGGTGGCTGGGGTTACTCGGCCCACTCGGTGGAGGCTATCCGCTTCTGTGCTGATGCGGACATCCTGCTGGGGGGGCTGGGCCTGTTCGGGGGCCGTGGGGAGTACACCGCTAAGATCAAGGTCAGTGGCAGGGATACTAGCAAATGCACTGCATTTCCTCTAGCTCTTTTTGCTAGGTCTATACAGTGCCTTCAGAAAGTATTCATACACCTTGACTTATTCCACAATTAGTTGTGTTACAGCCTGGATTCCAAATGTATTAAATATTTTTTTTTCTCAACCATCTACACACAATACCCCATAATGAAGAAGTGAAAACATGTTTTTGGAAATTTTACTAATTTAATGAAAATGAAATACAGAAATATCTAATTTACATAAGTATTCACACCCCTGAGTCAATAATTTGTAGAAACACCTTTGGCAGTGATTACAGCTGTGCGTCTTTCTGGGTACGTTTCTAAGAGCTTTCCACACCTGGATTGTGCAACATTTGCTCATTATTCTTTTTTTAAAATCTTCAAGCTTTTTCAAATTGGTTGTTAGACAATCATTTTTCAGGTCTTGCAAGATTTGGCCTTGTGTTTTAGGTTATTGTCCTGCTGAAAGGTGAAGTCATCTTCCAGTGTCTGGTGAAAAGCCGACTGAATCAGGTTTTCCTGTAGAATTTTGCCTGTGCTTAGCTCCATTCCGTTACTTTTTAATCCTGGAAAAACTCCCCAGTCCTTAACGATTAAAAGCACACCCATAACATGATGCAGCCACCACTATGTTTAAAAATATGGAGAGTGGTACTACGTAATTTGTGGTATTGGATTTGCCCCTAACATAACACTTTGTATTCAGGACAAAAAGTTAATTGCTTTGCCACATCTTTTGCAGTATGACTTTAGTGCATTGTTGCAAACAAGATGCACGTTTTGGAATAGTTTTATATTGTACAGGCTTCCTCCTTTTTTAAACTCACCATTGGCCTCATGGTGAAATCTGAGCGGTTTCCTTCCTCTCCAGCAACTGAGTTGGACACGTATCTTTGTAGTGACTGGGTGCATCCAAAGTGTAATTGATAACTTCACCATGCTTAAAGTGATATTCATTGTCTACTTTTTTTTTTAACCATCTACCAATAGGTGCCGTTCTTTGTGAGGCATTGGAAAACCTCCTTGGTCTTTTTGGTTGAATCTGTGTTTGAAGTTCACTGCTCGAATGTGGGACCTTACAGTTAATTGTATGTTGGATACAGAGATGAGTTAGTTATTCAAAAATCATGTTAACCCCCTAGAGTTGATTGACGGACCGGTGTGTCAATCTAAGTAACATAATAAAAAAATGTAAGCTAGAGATCTGTAGCGTCCGAAAATATTATGACCACTCTATGGAAAGGAGAGACTCTCACGAACACAATGGTGTACGACCCTCACGAGTGTCACGGGACTCGACTGAAGGTAATCTGTACCGGTTTTTAAAAAATTTACGGAAGTATGAAGGTAGTTTTGTGCCTACCCAAAATAGGGTTAAATATGTATAAAAAAACTACAAATATTTCCTGAGCTTTCTTATATCTTCTAGATATAGGACAAACACGTCAAAACCTTGTTGCTTATGATACATTTTTTGACTGTCTTTTTTGCCATTTATGAATGTGTTATTTAATGCATTTCTCTGGGCTATAGTGGTAAAGGCCAAATTCAATATTTGATCAAGTCATTGTTTTGTGTAATTGTTTTTATTATACCTAAAGCGGTCCTAAAATTCCAAATCAAATAGCTAAATGATCCGTAGTATGACCATCTTAAAACAATTCCATGTCAGCTTAGACCTCCCCCTCCCCCAAAGGCTTAGACTTTTAAGAATTTAACACTATTATAGCACACAGAGTGAGTCCATGCAACTTATTTTGTGACTTGTTAAGCACATTTTTACTCCTGAACTTATTTAGGCTTGCCATAACAAAGGGGTTGAATACTTTTTGACTCGGCATTTGAGCTTTTAATTTATATAAAAAATACAATCCACTATGGGGGATTGTGTGTAGGCCAGTGACCAAAAATCTTAATTTAATCCATTTTAAAGTTAGGCTGTAACAAAACTATATGGGGAAAAAGTCAAGGGATGTGAATACTTTCTGAAGGCACTGTGCATGTTTGACATTGTAGGACGGTCATTTATCCCATATCCCACCAATCTGTAGTACCCAAATGGGTCATGCACAGCACTGATGGCTGCCACACTGGTCATCACACCCAACAGCTATCACCAATCTATATCTATACGCTGGAGACACTTATCTCCCTCACTAACTTTAAGCATCAGTTGTCAGAGCAGCTTACCGATCACTGCACCTGTACACAGCCCATCTGAAATTAGCCCGCCCAACTACCTCATCCCTATATTGTTATTTATTTTGCTCATTTGTACCCCAGTATCTCTATTTGCACATCATCTCTTGCACATCTATCATTCCAGTGTTAATACTAATTGTAATTATTTTGCACTATAGCCTATTTTATTGCCTTACCTCCATAACTTGCTAAATTTGCACACACTGTATATTATATGTATTTCTGTTGTATTTTTGACTTTGTTTTGTTTTACCCCATATGTAACTCTCTGTTGTTGTTTTTATCGCACTGCTTTGCTTTATCTTGGCCAGGTCGCAGTTGTAAATGAGAACTTGTTCTCAACTGGTTTACCTGGTTAAATAAAGGTGAAATAAAAATAAATAAAATAAATATTTAACATATGTTAGCCTATTATGTTATCTATGTTACCGACGTAATCTAAGTTGTTTGAGTACACCGCCAAGATCAAGGTTAGTAGGTGTACTAGTATCAACTAATTATGTATTTATCAATGTATGCATTTAATTGCTAGGTTCTGTGATATTGAACAAATTAGTCAAGAGCTGAAAAATTGCCACAGTCCGAATAGAGGTATATTCAAGAGTCTTGTATGTTGTCACTGACTGTTGTGTTGTGTGTTACTGCACAGTTGTTTGAGCTAGGGCCTGATGGTGGAGACCATGAGACAGATGGGGACCTCCTGGCTGAGACTGACGTCCTGGCCTATGACTGCGCTGCCAGGGAGAAGTACGCCATGATGTTTGATGAGCCGGTGCTGCTGCAGCTTGGCTGGTGGTATGTGGCCTGGGCCCGTGTGTCTGGGCCCAGCTCAGACTGTGGCTCCCACGGACAGGCCACCATCACCACAGATGACAGGTACCTACTGGAGCCCATAGAAATACAATTACTTGAACAGATATCCCCATTCCTCATTGTACATTGTGAATTATGTGAACCTACTCCCTTTTGCAGTGTGGTCTTTCAGTTCAAGAGCTCCAAGAAGTCAAACAACGGTACCGACGTGAATGCAGGTCAAATACCTCAGCTCTTGTACAGGCAAGTCATTTTCCTACACTCCTTATATTGTCTGAATAGTGACCCGTGAAATGTATGTTGATGAACTTCAAGTAACCGGCTTTGTAATGGGAATGTAATGTGGTTGTTTTACTACTGCAGGCTTCCGTCAAATGATGGCAACGCAGCCAAAGGGAAACAGCAGACCAGTGAGCCGGTTCACATCCTCAAACGTTCCTTCGCCCGGACCGTCTCAGTGGTACGTACCGTACGCCTGTTTCTCCCCTAGCTAGACTTGTTCCAAGGCAGGCCGCAGAGACCCCATAATCAGAACATGGGCTTGTATGATAGCAATATTGAAACCAATTGTGTTCATCAGGCATCAAATGGAGGAAAATTGATTTAAACAGAGGGGAACTACCTGGACTGGTCCAATAAGAAACACTCATTTTAGTTTTCTGTTGCAAAATGTTTGGAAACTTTTTCCTTTGCATGCCCTAATGAACATCACCCTGGAGTGTAATACAGTAGTTGTTAGGATGTAAGCTCATAAAGGTTTCATTAATAGGTGGTAAACCTGTAGTAAACATGTAATAAACATGTCATCCCCCCCTCCTATCCCTGTAGGAGTGTTTCGAGTCCCTGCTGAGTATCCTCAACTGGAGCTGGACCACCCTAGTGCTGGGGGTGGAGGAACTGAGAGGCCTGAAAGGCTTCCAGTACACGGCCACCCTGCTGGACCTGGAGCGTCTGCGCTTTGTTGGAACCTGCTGCCTTCGCCTGCTCCGTGTCTATATCTGTGAGATCTTCCCCATCTCTGGTAGGCTCTCTGGTAGGGTTACAAAGATGCTCTAAGACACACAAACACAACCATGCAGGTACTCATAGTAGTACTCACACACACACAGGTAACACACACACAGGTAACACACACACACAGGTAACACACATATGGAAATGATAGAAAAGACAAAATCAAGAATCCAAGTTGATAGCAATGAGTTTGCTACATTGAGAGACCTAACATATTATAAGCATTATAATAAAGGCTCATAGTTATAGCAATTAATGAAACCATTATACCCGTCAGCTGTAAGTAAAGTTTCTGAATCGTCAACTGAATGTAACAGCATCATATTGTCCCTGGTTTAACCCTCAGGCCTCTGTCCTATTCCCCCCTCTTCCTCCTTTTCAGCCAGCACCAAGGCGGTGGTGGAGGAGTCCAGCAAGCTGGCGGAGTGCGTGGGCAAGACCCGTAGCTTGCTCAAGAAGATCCTGTCAGAGGGCATGGACAACTGCCTGACCAAGCTGGACAACGACCCCCAGGGCTACCTGTCCCAGCCCCTCACCCTGCTGGAGGCCGTGCTGCAGGAGTGCCACAACACCTTTACCGCCTGCTTCCACTCCTTCTACCCCACGCCTGCACTGCAGTGGGCCTGCCTCTGCGACTTACTCAACTGCCTCGACCAGGTAGGTCTAAGAGAGAGATTGTGGGTTAACGAGTAAGGTTGTTTGTTCAGTTCCTACACGGACCGCATAGACTTACAGATTTGGTCAAATATATTGTCACCCTTGCACTTTACAATTGACTGCAATACAGCGGAATGTTTTGTTTTTTTTTCTATAAAAAAAATGGTAGCATGGCTATTTTTTACCCTGTAGGCACCTGCAACTTTCCACAGGTGAAGTGAATTACACTGTAAATGAGAATAATTGCCTCCTTTTGTTGGGGTACAATATTCCAATTCTTATCATTTCATATTCATTTAATATATTTCCCATTCATTATTTTTCAAATATACTGTATATTTGTACTGTACCTGTGAGCGCAAACTTGAACATTGTGAAAATTCTTTGCAACTTCCAGTGCGCATTTACTGTGAACACTGAGGCTGTACGTGCTTCTAAGTTACAGTTGTAACAGTGACCATGTAGGCTACTGTGGCAATTTGATCATAATGTAGGACTACTAGAGGGGCCTACCATCAAAAACAATGGAGAAAATGCATCCCATAACATTTTAACTTGGAAATAGCTGTTCTATCATTTGTGTGGTGTTCAGTGTAGGCCCACATTCCATGGGACTTTGGTGAGAAAAAAACAAAACATGCAGGGCTTGACATTATCCTGTTTATCCACTTGTCCTTCAGACAAGGAGGTGACTGAAAATGTGTTTGATGCAAGAAACCACTTTACAAAAGAAAATGCATTATTATTCCCATACCATTATTACAGAGAATCAGACAAATTATGTTACCCTCTGCCTATTGGCTACTTAGCTTATTCAAGCCTGTCTCAAAATACAACACTGCCCCTTTAAGACAAAAAAAGCTCTTTACGTTTTGTGCTCTTGGAGGAAGCAGTCACTCCCGTATTGCTGACTACAAATTATCTATAACTGAGCTAATAACTCACTAACTAGCAAAGGATATGAACAAAATGTGCACACGTGGCTAAATGCAGCTCTCGCTTTGATCTCAAAACAAGCGCATCTACTCATGACCGCTCATGCTGTAAACACAGTCCAGTTCAAAGTAAATGGCACAGATCCATATATGGCAATTATTTATTTGCATATATGCCTACTGCAGCTCTGATTGTTTATGCAGAACCGGTCTGTGAAGAGTGCGGGCTGAGTAGTGCGTGTCAATGCAATAGAATCCTACTCCAATGTGTTCTGCCTACAACAAAATCTTTTGCGTAGTTCGTTTTGTGTCGCTATGTTGCATTGAAAGTGGCTAATATGTCATCATAATTGCCACAGTAAAGGGAAACATTGATAGCGATAACAGGGAAAACTCTAGAACAGTGGTCACCAACTTTTTCTGAGTCAAAATGCAAGCCGAGATCTACTGCTCAGATTTTTTTATTAACATGACTTAAAAAACAGAAGCCTATAGTGCATTCAGAACATATTCAGAGCCCTTGACTTTTTCCAAATGTTGTTACATTACAGCCTTATTCTAAAATTGATTAAATTGTTTTTTTCACCCTAATCAATCTGCACACAATACCCCATAATGACAAAGCAAAAACCGGTTAAAATGTATAATTAATAAAAAACAGATATTATATTTACATAAGTATTCAGACCCTTTACTCAGTACTTTTGTTGAAGCACCTTTGGCAGCGATTACAGCCTTGCGTCTTCTTGGGTGTGACGCTACAAGCTTGGCACACCTGTATTTGGGGAGTTTCTCCCATACTTCTCTGCAGATCCTCTCAAGCTCTGTCAGTTTGGATGGGGAGCGTCGCTGCACAGCTATTTTCAGGTCTCTCCAGAGATGTTTGATCGGGTTCAAGTCCGGGCTCTGGCTGGGCCACTCAAGGACATTCAGAGGCTTGTCCCAAAGCCAGTCCTGCGTTCTCTTGGCTGTGCGCTTAGGGTCGTATTCCTGTTGAAGGTGAACCTTCGCCCCAGTCTGAGGTCCTGAGTGCTCTGGAGCAGGTTTTCATCTTTCTCTCAATCCTGACTAGTCTCCCAGTCCCTGCTGTTGTAAAACATCCCCACAGCATGATGCTGCCACCACCAGGTTTCCTCCAGACGTGATGCTTGGCATTCAGGCCAAAGAGTTCAATCTTGGTTTCATCAGACCAGAGAATTTTGTTTCTCATGGTCTGAGAGTCCTTTAGGTGCCTTTTGGCAAACTCCAAGCGGGCTGTCATGTGCCTTTTACTGAGGCGTGGCTTCCGTCTGGCCACTCTACCATAAAGGCCTGATTGTTGGACTGCTGCAGAGATTGTAGTCCTTCTGGAAGGTTCTCCCATCTCCACAGAGGAACTCTGGAGCTCTGTCAGAGTGACCATCGGGTTCTTGGTCACCTCCCTGACCAAAGCCCTTCTCCCCCGATTGCTCAGTTTGGCCGGGCGGCCAGCTCTAGTAAGAGTCTTGGTGGTTCCAAACTTCTTCCATTTTAAGAATGATGGAGTCTACTGTGTTCTTGGGGACCTTCAATGCTGCAGAAATGTATTGGTACCCTTCCCCATATCTGTGTTTAGACACAATCCTGTCTCGAAGCTCTACGGCCAATTCCTTCGACCTCATGGCTTGGTTTTTGCTCTGACATGCACTGTCAACTTATATAGACAGGTGTGTGCCTTTCCAAATCATATCCAATCAATTGAATTTACCACAGGTGTACTCCACTCAAGTTGTAGAAACATCTCAAGGATGATCAATGGAAACAGGATGCACCTGAGCTCAATGTCGAGTCTCATAGCAAAGGGTCTGAATACTTATGTAAATAAGCTATTTCTGTTTTTTTATGTGTACTACATTTGCTAAAATTGATCAACTGTTTTTCGCTTCGTCATTATGGGGTATTGTGTGTAGATTGACGAGGAACAACATTTATTTAATCTATTTTAGAATAAGGCTGTAAAGTAACAAAATGTGGAAAAAGTGAAGGAGTCTGAATATTTCCGAAGCCACTGTGTGCAACATTAACCAATTAAAAACAGTACTGTAGAAATGAGGTTTGTGCAGTAAGGTATAGGCCCCAATACATTATCACTGCATATTGGCTTTGCTTGAATTGCCCTGCCAATGCACTGTTGTTTGGGGCATTTGAAGTAGGCTATATGATCACACCGGTAATGGATCCGTTGTTGTATTACTTGTGAAGCACAGCTGAGTGAGCATACATTTAAATCATTTTATTTATATTTTTATTTTACTGGGCTGATGGTGCCTGCATCCGATGATCAGTCTCAGAGGAGGGAGAGAGCAGCAGACTGATGGTCCGTCTCTCAACATCCCTCCACTTTCCCTTTCCTCCGCTGACACTGACCAAAAAGAGACACCGTCTTCCAGCTGAATGCGAAACTCGAGTCGCACCGCATTATTTCTTCCTCATGCAGAAATTAATGTTGTTACTCCTATGAACAGAGAAAGTAAAATATTCCTCGATATTAAAAAAGACCCAAGCCAATTAAAATAACAACAACGCAAACCTATAGGGTAAACATCCCTATTTAGCCCACCAAATCCGCTTTTCAGACATTTTTTATATATACTGACCCAATTTAAGTGAGAACATTTTAGTTAAAATGAAAGTCTAATCTCTCATTTGAAGTGTCAATAATTCATTTATAACAATTTCTAATGTTTTTATCGTTTAATTTGTCAATGTACCCTTTAAGCACATGGGTGTTCCAAATAAGCCCTCTTCAGATTTGTTGATAAATAAATATATTTAAAAAAATCTTAATACAAACTTGTTCTATTCAAATCTGTAATCTCTTAGCTCTCAATAGCTATTTTCCTTTTGTCTCCACTCCTATCCTATGGCCTGTAAATGGCATTTGAAATAGGCGTGACCAGCCTTTTTGCTGTGTCGTCAACGCAGAAAAAGCTAAACTTACAACATGTCTTCTTTAGAATGTAGCCAAAAAACTATTTACGAACAAAATCAAAACTATAGTGGAAATTACACTTCAATACTTCATCTTTCATTATGTGTTGTCATTTAGTCTGTATCTCTATCCTGTGGTGTGCTGTTGGCATTTGAAATTGGCCAACATTTCTGGTACAGCCAACTGGTTGAAAGGTTTTTATGAAGATTTCTGAAGAAAAGCAGTTTGCAGGTTCAAAATTAATGATCTAACGATAGTAAATGAGTCAATTTCAGGATTTACATTTAAACAATAGCTTTAATTGATTTTCAAATGTTAATCACATTTAGGCTAGTATTTTGAAAACATTGTAAAAATGCATTTTAAAACCATTCAGTTCATTGTGAGGAGACATCAGTCATAACATCTTGAAGCTCATGTATCATTAGCATACAACGTAAGCAAAATAAACAAACATTTCTGCAATTTCTACTTTCTCCTAGGCTAAACATAGGCCTATGCTCTTTAATGTGATTGTATTGTTTTAGTTATCTTAGTAGTGTAACATAACAGGTTATAGGGTGGTCTAAGCTTTATTTTGTTTGTTTGTTTCAATGTTTTGCCCACGTTGTGGTTGTCTTTGCTTGCCAGTCTTTTGCTAACAAGTCATTGATGGCTTTCATCTTGTTTTTGTACAGATTTTCAATGACCTCATGTTTGCGCAAATAGAACGGTATAGGTCCCTCCAGCTCACACCAAGATCCATAGAGGTGTTTCCCCTTGTACAGCACATAGGGTGGGAGGGTCTGTCCTGCTGCATTCCCTGTTATGCAGACATAGATCTGTTCCCTTCCATTTCCGTCCGTGTTTTGGTACACGTTCTTGCTGCCTCTTCTTGACAGGACTTTGCCTGCTGCCGGATCAGTGATGAAGCCTGTCTCGTCTATGTTATAGATATTTTCAGGCTTATCCATGACATCGGCTTTAACCATCTCCTTTTCAAGGAGCGCAAACCAGCCTCTGAGAATGGCTGGGTCGGATGTGGCTTTTGCCCTTGCCTCTGGGAACTGTTCTGACTTCCTTATGGTCAGTTCCGGATGGTCCCGCATGAAGCGTTCAAACCATTTTCGTCCGGGTCTTTGGTCCTTGAAGGGGGTTTGAAGTTCCTTTGCTATCACAAACTCTTGAACGAGATGGAGAAGATCCGTCTGGGTAAAGCCCCAACCCCACTGGCAAAGGACCTGAAGAGATGGAGAATGACAAAGCATTAGTCCTGGACGCACGTGTGCGTGCGCGCGCATGCACACACTCACTTATTTATGCGCGTGCACACACACACACACACACATTGCATACACACTTATGCACCACACAAACACGTACACAGACACACACACATACCGACAGGTCACACATTGAGAACCACTGGATTAGGCAAAATCACATTTTCAATGACCTCATATTAGGCTATCCACTGTTTCGTGTTATCCTTTTCTTAGCCAATCAGTCACTACAGTATAACCCTACCTGAAGACACTCTGAAATCTCTTGCTCTACAGCTGGACTCAGGTAGATCACATGTCCCTGTTGTGCGTCAATGCTCAGCTGCTCCTTCCCTCTCTGCCTCAACGACTTCCTTTCTACTCCATAATGTTTTGCCAGAAATTAGAGATTTTGCATTGTTCCCTCCCTGTACAGACTGCATGCTTCTATCATGCGTGGGCATGAACTGTCGTTTTTTTTTTGGTGTGTTTTAGACATCTCAATCTAAAACTCATCTGAAAAGTAGGCCTAAAGATAAAACAATTATTGTTAATGTTAGGATAGAATATAGGCCTATCCAGAATGAATTGACCTATGCAATATGACTGATATTTAAATATGGGTATTAATTATCTGAATTATGGAGCTGATTTATCAGGTGAGGTCCAAATTAGGAAGGAAAATGGTTCAAAGGTCAAAAGGAAGAAAATCCCCATTGAAACACAGTCAAGTGGGCTTAATGGGAGCAGGTGGGCTTAAAGGGAACGTCAGTGAATTTATGGTTAAAAGACAGAATATTTTATTCTACGCACATGACAATAAAAAAACAACTATATATGAAATAAATCTATAAATGGTGCACTAACATAACATGAAAAGTATAAATGTATCATGCAGAGAAGTAATTAGCTATGCTCATTTACATCCACCCCAGACAGTGTGATATTTTTGCTAGCGTCCCCTTTAAGCCCACTAGGTAAAAATTTTAATAAAAACATTTATAAAGATAAACATACACATTTATTGTCTATTTAACAGTATAATAATATAAACTGCATACAAAAATGTAAACTATACCTGCTTAGCATGCTTTATGTCATTGCAATGAACCATATTATGCAGCTACTATATTGATGCAGCATGTGGTCTGTTTGCTAGCATACTAAAATTCATATTTTGATTTCAAAAGTAACAATTTATAATTCAAGTAATATTCTAACATACGTCTTATTCAAAACACTAATCACTTCGATTTTGATAACAAATGAGTACTTACCAAAAACAGGAGTAGAAATATGCAAAAAATTTTATCTTCTGAGGGTACCAAAATCACACGTTTTTTTGCAACTACTTCTGGGATCAGCAGGCACATGTTACACATGCTTTGATAACTCAATATTGACAAATCTGATTGGCCTACAATAATAAGTGTAATTTATGTAACAAGCAGCTTCATTGGAAGAAAAGTGATGTATTTTTTTTTTTTTTTTTCACTCAGAAGTTGGGGTTAATAGGGACGTTTACCCTAGAGACACTTTCCTACTCATTCATTACTGCTGCAGTGCTTGTTGTAGCGCTCAGTGGAAGTAGGAAGAACGGCTTATAAAAAGTGTTGAATACAAAGTGTTGACAGTGCTGAGTAAGAACTTAAACATGAACATCTCTTTGCTGGATTCATTGACAGTCTCTCTCTAGTCATGGTTTTAAAAGTTTTGAAGTCTCACAGTATCAACTTTGCTGTAGCTTTCTGCTACGTTATTGCAGACACGGTCATCAGAGCCATCCGATTGGCCAGCGGTAGGCCCATAGTACACTTGATTTGCTCTCTGGGCCCGCAGGGAAGGCAGAGTTTGTACCTTCAGACACATGAAATGGACAAAGTTAGACGCACAAATATCATACCCCCAAAAAATGCTAACCTCCCCTGTTATTGTAATGGTGATATGATATTTGTCGGTCTGTAACTTTCTCACTCATCATTATTCACGATTCATTCAGGATTATCCGTAATCATGGTAGCATCCACATTAATAAGAAAGTGTTTTGAAACATATTCTTATTTACAATAAAGTTGACTCCAAATGCATCCACATTAATGTAGAAGTGTTTAGAAACATATTATATTCTTATTTACAATAAAAGTGACACAATACATTATTTACAATTCATTTCTATTGGGCACAAAATAATCTGAAACACAACCAAAACAAAGAGCAAATGCATCCAACAAATCTGTAGCATTTAAAATCCAAAGTGCTGCAGTAATGAGCCAAAACACCATAAAATGTGTCACTGTCCCAATACCTTTGGAGCTCACTGTATTGTTATAATAATAAATATACTATGTCTTGGTTGCCATTCAAATTGCTCCTCTAAGCTTTTGTGTACAAAGATAATCTAGAAAATACATAGCTAATGATAAGTTATGGTCAAAATGCATTCTGGCTCTAGTTATCACATCTCTTTAGTGAAAGTTTGCTACTTCACCCACCCTTCTTCCTTTCACCAGGACATTGCCGAGGCCAATTTCCGCACATCAAGCAGCCGACTGTTAGCGGCGGTGATGTCTGCACTGTGCAACACGTCAGTCAAGCTGACGTCCATCTTGCCCATTGCGTACGACGGCGAGGTGCTGCTGCGCTCGCTGGTCAAACAGGTCAGCACGGAGAATGACTCGGCGCTCGCCCACCGCTTCCCCCTGCTGGTGGCACACATGGAGAAACTCAGCCACGTGAGTAAACATCAAAGATAGCGGAATTTCGACACAATGTCTGACCAATGAGGACCCGTATTCAAAAAGCGTCTCCCAGTAGGAGTGCTGATCTAGATTCAGTTCCCCGGATCCATATAATCCTATTCATTATGATCTAAAAAGCTAAATTGATCCTAGGTCAGCACTCCTACTCTGAGACTTTTTGTGAATATCCCATAACTAGCACAGGGGTTAGCCGTATTGCTTTACCTATTTTACTGTTGGAACACTCACCTATTAAAATGTGTTATCATTGAAATGGGCATGTAACCTCTGTCTCCTGATTTCCCATGTTGTGCTTATCACATAACATTTTATGGATTCAGTGGAGTTAAAAACATTTATTTTTATTTTTATATACAATCAGAGAAGACACAATTGCTGACCTTTCTCATGTTCTTTCACTTTCTTTCTTTTCTCCACTCCCCCTTTCAGACAGAGGAGAACCTGATGGGGATGACAAGTTTCAGGGAGGTTCTCGAGAAGATGCTGGTGATTGTAGTGCTACCAGTGAGGAAGAGCCTGAGAAAGGAGGTGGAGCTCTTCTCCCCCCACCTGGTCTCCAACACCTGTGGCCTGCTGGCCAGCATAGTCTCTGAGCTCACCGCCTCTGCACTGGGCTCCGAGGTAAAGAACAAACACAGACACACGAGCCCCCCCCCCCCCCCCACACACACACTCTGATGGTTTATGTCTAAAGACACAAGTCAATGTTTGTGTTGCTTAGGATTTAATTGATTACCAGGTTGTGCCTGTTCAGGGATTGAACAGGACATTGATATTGACAGCCATTAAAAGATCTAGTCCTATTCCTGTTAATAGGTTGGCTAGATTCGTAATGGAATCGACCTACCCTAAATTTAGACCTGACTCCAGTCCAAATATAGCGCTCTGTTGGGGTTGAGAGATGATGTCATTCAGTTGAGGTATCCGCCATTTACATTGTATTCTATTCCCCCTACTTCAATCTGAATGATTTCTTAGCAATTCTAATATTCAAGGTTAATAAAATCAAATGTTATCAAATATACATAACATTTAAATGTTATACTACATACAGTATCTGCATCAATATATTTGTTGAAAACGATTAAATCAAAATGGAGAAAGCAAAACAATTGCAGAATTACCTTTCTTGTTTACAAGACGCTGAGTCACTTCGGGGAGTGACGTCTCTCACTCTGTCCATCCACACGTCTGTCCCTCTGTCCTTCCACTTTTCCGTCTGTTTCGCTGTACCCTGCAGCTGCCGGCTGCATTCTCAACACTCAATCTCAATCACCCTGCAGTTTGGCCGTCATGACAACAGCCCCAGCCGCCACAGTTGTTCTAAATCCATTGTTCACATTGTCAAGGAAACTGCTGTTCTCCGTTTAGGGACCTGGGCCTGGTTGCATAAAACACCTTAAGTTAATTTTCCCCTTATCCTTTCCCTTAAAGTTTCCTTAACTTTAAATCAGTTGCACAAAACATTTTAAGGTGAATTCCACCCTTAAATTAAGTGAAAAAGTTAAGGGTGCCCTTGAGGTCCCTTAACTGCTTCATTCAGTATGGCTATCAATGGAAAAGCATTTGTGGACGTGAATGTAGCTTTCATCTGCCCTGGTTACAAAAGGAAAACATCAACCAGCTAGCTACTTAGCTAAATAATGGAAGATGCACAATCCATACCTACTCTGTAAGCTAGCTTGAAGTGCTAGAATGTAATAGAAACAAGTTTGGAAAAAAGTAACTACATGAAATGTGGTTTATTATCGTCTGAAGCAATTTGGTTATCCTGTCTTGATTGTAGAAGTTCTATTTTTCTATCTCAAAAAATAAATGTTTTCTCTTTGACAAGACGTTTAGTCATTGCATCAGGCTGTCTCCATGGTAACCAGATACTCTTTCTACTATAAATCCCATTAAGTATGCCTTTACATAAGGGAATATTTGAGGGGCTCTATGCAAATCCCTTAAACAATTACCTTAGGTAAGGGAAAATTATTCCTCAAATTAAACACTTAAGATGTTTTATGCAACCGGGCCCTGGATATCCGTGTACCAACCACAGACAGACTATCTCTGGCCACATAGGTGTGTCATAAATAGCAAGGTAACTAATACTAACCACACCACGTCGATCAGGTCATCCTCGTAGTAGGGATGGAACAATTACATGTAACCGACGGTTATGGATTTTTGAGTGTGGAAAGAACAGCTGACTGAAGATTGGACGGCCGGGCATTCGTGCGGTTGAGTCCGTTTCTGCTGTAACATGGACATGAAACTTTGTTGCTCCATGCTGAAACACGTAAGGTGTAGTAGCAAACGAGTCTTAGGTTGCCTAGGCAACACCCCTTCCCTGCAGCAGCAGCAAATGCATTCAGGAACAGAGGAGAGGAGAAAATGTGTGTCTTAAAAAATAAATATATACACCACCGTTCAAAGACCAGAGACTGGTGTTTTGCAGGTACTATTTAATGAAGCTGCTGGTTGAGGACCTGTGAGGCGCCTGTTTCTCAAACTAGACACTCTAATGTATTTGTCCTCTTGCTCAGTAGTGAACCTGGGCCTCCCACTCCTCTTTCTATTCTGGTTAGAGCCAGTTTGCGCTGTTCTGTGAAAGGAGTAGTACACAGCGTTGTACGAGATCTTCATTTTCTTGGCAATTTCTCGCATGGAATAGCCTTAATTTCTCAGAACAAGAATAGACTGACGAGTTTCAGAAGAAAGTTATTTGTTTCTGGCCATTTTGAGCTTGTAATCGAACCCACAATTGCTGGTGCTCCAGATACTCAACTAGCCTCAAGAAGGCCAGTTTTATTGCTTCTTTAATTAGCACAACAGTTTTCAGCTGTGCTAACATAATTGCAAAATGGTTTTCTAATGATCAATTAGCCTTTTAAAAAGATGATAAACCTGGATTAGCAAACACAACGTGAAGTTGGAACACTGATGGTTGATGATATTTGGCCTCTGTACGCCTATGTAGATATTCCATAAAAAATCTACAATAGCCATTTACAACATTAACAATGTCTACACTGTATTTCTGGTCAATTTGATGTTATTTTAATGGACCAAAAAATTGCTTTTTCTTTCGAAAACAAGGACATTTCTAAGTGACCCCTAACTTTTGAACGGTAGTGTATATAATTTTTTCTTTGCTATTCAAACGGTTATTATGGTGACCGCAGTAATTTGTCTGACCAATAACTGTCTTCCAAATTTCCATAACTGCCACAGCCCTACCTCGTGGTATTGTATTTGTTTCTGAAGTAAGTTGGCCGATGTCATGGTCAGTGAGGTTGTCATACATTGTCTTGTACAATAACAATGGAAAGCCCCTGCTGGTGTTTATTCACCTCAGTACTACCACCTGGTGGAATTATATAGCAACCAGGTAAATACTTAGTTTTCATGACAAGGTCAAGATGTCATGGGAAAGAGGTAATATTTTGGTTGTTGTCCGGTCAGATTACAACCAGATAAATACCTATTGCTAAAATGACGTTAACAAAACTTCCTTAATACAACCACTATATGACCTAACCATGACTATATCAAAACAATATAAAATACATCATAATCACTTGTCTCTTCGTCTCTCCCAGGTGGACGGTCTGAACTCGCTTCACTCGGTGAAGTCCACTCCCAACCGCTTCACCAAGACGAGCCAGGGCCGCAGCTGGAACACGGGCAATGGCTCTCCAGATGCCATCTGTCTGACTGTGGACAAGCCCGGCGTGGTGCTGGTTGGCTTCTGCGTCTACGGCGGCGGGGGCATCCATGAGTATGAGTTGGAGGTGCTCGCTGATGACGTAAGAGTTTTAGATCTGCCTTTTATTTTTATTAACTTTGGAAGCTATTTTAGATTTAGTTTTAGTCTAAGTCTTTTGACTAAAATACTTTTATGGTCTTAGTCACACTTTTTGCTCACACTCATTTTAGTCAATGCATTTTTTTTTATACCTTGTTCTATTTACCTCTAACTTCCATCATGTGCACATTCAGATATCATTGTCCAACTACAATCCCCATCTATATCTTAGCTGGTAATATTGCTATTGTGGCAGAATATAACCATAGTAACCCATGATTAATCATAGGCTACAAAGCCGGCTACAGGTTAAACAATTTACAAATCAGATTTTATTCTGTCATAACCGTCCGAGGTGGGTAAATAACAGAGATTCCCTTGAAAGGGGATGAATCTGAGCTTTCCAACAATCCACAAATTATTACTGTACTTCTAATATTCAGGAAATAGTATTTTCAATCGGAGAAAACAACTCATATTTGCGGACCACAAGAGTGGTAAACAGCATACATGGCTTCTGGTGTGAGAGTGGAGACATTATTGTTTCTTAGCAGACTTGAGGTTAGGTACCATTTACCTGGCTGTGGTACAAGTACCATGGTTTCCTGCGCATTAGTGAAGAAAGGATGAGACGAGTGAGCTGGTTTTAGTGACAGCCCGGGTCGGGAGCTGTGTTTGTGTGGCAGTGGCGCAGGGCTCAGCTCAAACAGTCCTGGAAACTAAGAGATGTTCATTCTGCCAATGAGAGGATTGTATGAAATATTTTGCAAAGGCATACATGCTAATGATTGGACAAAACATATACAGAGCCTTCAGAAAGTATTCACTCCCCTTGACTTTTTCCACATTTTGTTGTGTTACAAAGTGGATTAAAATTGATTTATTTTAAATTTTTTGTCAACGATCTACACAAAATACTCTTTCAAGGTGGAAGAAAAATTATAACATTTGTCAAAACATTATGAAAAATAAAACCTAAATATATCTTGTATAGTCAATACATGTTCGAATCACCTTTGGCAGCAATTACAGCTGTGAGTCTTTCTGGGTAAGTCTCTGAGCTTTCCACACCTGGATTGTGCAACATTTGCCTGTTATTCTTTTCAAAATCCTTCAAGCTTTGTCAAATTGGTTGTTGATCATTGCTAGACAACCATTTTCAAGTCTTGACATACATTTTCAAGCACGTTAAGTCAAAACTGTAACTAGGCCACTCAGGAACATTCAATGTCGTCTTGGTAAGCAACTCCAGTGCAGAGTTTGCCTTGTGTTTTAGGTTATTGTCCTGCTGGAAGGTGTATTCATCTCCCAGTGTCTGGTGAAAAGCAGAATAGACCCAGTTTTCCTCTAGGATTTTGCCTGTGCTTAGCTCCATTCCATTTTTTTAATCCTGATAAACTCCCCAGTCCTTAACGATTACAAGCATACCCATAACATGCAGCTACCACTATGTTTGAAAATATGGTGATACTGTTGTACTCAGTAATTTGTTATGTTGGATTTGCCCCAAACATAACACTTTGTATTCAGGGCAAAATGTTAATTGCTTTGCCACATTTTTTGCAGTATTACTTTAGTGCCTTGTTGCAAACAGGATGCATGTTTTGGAATATTTGTATTCTGTACAGGTTTCCTTCTTTTCACTCTGTCAGTTAGGTTAGTATTGTGGAGTAACAATGTTGTTGATTCATCCTCAGTTTTCTTCTATCACTGTCATTAAACTCTGTAACTGTTTTAAAGTCACCATTGGCCTCATTGTGAAATCCCCGAGCGGTTTCCTTCCTCTCCGGCAACTGAGTTAGGACGGACGCCTGCATCTTTGAAGTGAATGGGTGTATTGATACACCATCCAAAGAGTAATTAATAACTTCACCATGCTCAAAGGGATATTCAGTGTCTGCTTTTTTATTTGTTTTACCCATCTACCAATAGGTGCCCTTCTTTGCGAGGCATTGGAAAACCTCTCTGGTCCTTGTGGTTGAATCTGTGTTTGAAATTCACTGCTCGACTGAGGGACCTTACAATTATCTGTATGTGTGGGTTACAGAGATATGGTAGTTATTCAAAAATCATGTTAAACACCATTATTGCACACAGTGAGTCCATTCAACTTATGTGACTTGTTAAGCAAATTTGTACTCCTGAAGTTATTTAGGGTTGACATAACAAAGGGGTTGAATACTTATTGACTCAAGACATTTCAGCTTTTAATTTTTTGTTAATTTGTAAGCATTTAGAAAACCATAATTCCATTTTGACATTATTGGGTATAGTGTGGAGATATATATATATATATATATATATATATATATATATATATATATATATATATATATATATAGTTATATATATATAGTTATATATATATATATATTTATATATATAGTTATATATATATATATTTATATATAGTTATATATAGTTATATATATATATAGTTATATAGTTAATTTTTATAGGTTATTTAACCTGGAATTCCCTTGAAATAAAAAAAAATGGAGGGAGGCCTTTTTTCTCATCACTATACATTTTTGTCGTTGATACATTTAGCTCAGGTAGTCCTCGAGCACAATCTTAAACATGCTTTTTAAACTCAGCAAAAAAAGAAACGTCCTCTCACTGTCAACTGCGTTTCTTTTCAGCGAACTTAACATGTGTAAATATTTGTATGACCATAACAAGATTCAACAACTGAGACATAAACTGAACAAGTTAAGACATTGAATAATGTGTCCCTGAACAAAGGTCAACATCAAAAGTAACAGTCAGTATCTTGGTGTGGCCACCAGCTGCATTAAGTACTGCAGTGCATCTCCTCCTCATGGACTGCACCAGATTTGCCAGTTCTTGCTGTGAGATGTTACCCCACTCTTCCACCAAGGCACCTGCAAGTTCCCTGACATTTCTGGGGGGAATGGCCCTAGCCCTCACCCTCCGATCCAACAGGTCCCAGACGTGCTCAATGGGATTGAGATCCGGGCTCTTCGCTGGCCATGGCAGAACACTGACATTCCTGTCTTGCAGGAAATCACGCACAGAACGATCAGTATGGCTTGTGGCGTTGTCATGCTGGAGGGTCATGTCAGGATGAGCCTGCAGGAAGGGTACCACATGAGGGAGGAGGATGTCTTCCCTGTAACGCACAGCGTTGAGATTGCCTGCAATGACAACAAGCTCAGTCCGATGATGCTGTGGCACACCGCCCCAGACCATGACAGACGCTCCACGTCCAAATCGATCCCGCTCCAGAGTACAGGCCTCGGTGTAACGCTCATTCCTTCGACGATAAACGCAAATCCTACCACCACCCCTGGTGAGACAAAACCGTGACTCGTCAGTGAAGAGCACTTTTTGCTAGTCATGTCTCGTCAAACGACGGTGGGTTTGTGCCCATAGGCGACGTTGTTGCCGGTGATGTCTGGTGAGGACCTGCCTTACAACAGGCTTACAAGCCCTCAGTCCAGCCTCTCTCAGCCTATTGTGGACAGTCTGAGCATTGGAGGGATTGTGCGTTCCTGGTGTAACTCGGGCAGTTGTTGCCATCCTGTACCTGTCCCGCAGGTGTGATGTTTGGATGTACCGATCCTGTGAAGGTGTTGTTACACGTGGTCTGCCACTGTGAGGACGATCAGCTGTCCGTCCTGTCTCCCTGTAGCGCTGTCTTAGGCGTCTCACAGTACGGACATTGCAATTTATTGCCCTGGCCACATCTGCAGTCCTCATGCCTCCTTGCAGCATGCCTAAGGCACGTTCACGCAGATGAGCAGGGACCGTGGGCATCTTTCTTTTGGTGTTTTTCAGAGTCAGTAGAAAGGCCTCTTTAGTGTCCTAAATTGTCATAATTGTGAACTTAATTTCCTACCGTCTGTAAGCTGTTAGTGTCTTAACGACCGTTCTACAGGTGCATGTTCATTAATTGTTTATGGTTCATTGAACAAGCATGGGAAACCGTGTTTAAACCCTTTACAATGAAGGTCTGTGAAGTTATTTAGATTTTTACGAAATATATTTGAAAGACAGGGTCCTGAAAAAGGGACCTTTTTCTTTTTTTGCTGAGTTTATATAATCCAGCAGTAACAAGTTAAATTCAGGGCAGTTTACAACTTTTCAAAGACTTGTGTGTGTATATTGGTATTCATTGCGATTCATTTTCCTAAAGCCACTGACCATCTCTTTTGGTTCTTGAGTTTAATCTTTCCCAGGAGTTCTTTCTCACCACTTCTCTCCTTTCTCTCTTTCCCCCTCTTCTTCCTCTCCAGGCCCAGACAGAGCACCCCGGGGACTCGACCCACACCCACAGGTGGACGTCTCTGGAGCTAGTCAAGGGAACCTACAGCACCGATGACTCCCCCAGCGACATTGCTGAGATACGCCTCGACAAGGCCGTGCCACTCAAGGTACACGGGACTAAAATGATGTGCCCTATACAGACATATCTATTCATCTATCTAACCATATGTATGCCAGGGTTTCCGTTTAGGAAATGTTGTATAATATTTTGATTTGTTTAACACTTTTTTGGTTACTACATGATTCAATATGTGTTATTTCATAGTTTTGATGTCTTCACTATTAAACTACAATGTAGAAAATAGTGAAAATAAAGAAAAACCCTGGAATGAGTAGGTGTGTCCAAACTTTTGACTGGTACTTTTATATGATTCTCTGCTAAACAAACAGACAACAAATAGACCTAGTAGCGAAGATTCAGCACCATGGATAGCACCGTGGTTAATTAAAAAGGACAGAACGGCTGCGTCGGGGAAGTTCAGAGGAGGGGGTGTGTGTCTCTGTTAACAACAACTGGTGCGTGATCTCTAATATTAAGGAAGTCTCAAGGTTCTGCTCGCCCGAGTTAGAATACCTTCATGATAAGCTGTAGACCACACTATTTACCAAGAGAGTTTTCATCTATATTTTTCGTGGCAGTCGATTTACCAACACAATCCGATGCTTGCACTCAGACCACACTCAACGAGCTGTATATAAGCAAACAATAAAATGCTCACCCAGAGGTGGCGCTCCTAGTGGCCGGTAACTTTAATGCAGGAAAACTGAAATCCGTTTTACATCATTTCTACCAGCATTTCAATTCTGCAACTAGAGGCGAAACAACTCTAGATCACTTTTACTCCACACACAGTGATGCATACAAAGTATCCCCCACTTTCCATTTGGCAAATCTGACCATAACTCTATCCTCCTGATTAATGCTTACAAGCAAAAACTTAAAACAGGAAGTACCAGTGACGTGCTCAATACGGAAGTGGTCCGATGAAGCAGATGCTAAACTACAGGATTGTTTCGCTTGCACTGACTGGAATATGTTCTGGGATTCATCCGATGGCATTGAGAAGTTTACCACACCAGTCATCGGCTTCATTAATAAGTGCATTGACAACGTACATATCCCAACCAGAAGCCATGGATTACAGGCAATATCCACATTGAGCTAAAGGCTAGAGCTGCTGCTTTCAATGAGCTACGCCCTCCGACGAACCATAAAACAGGCATAGTGTCAATACAGGACCAATATCGAATCCTACTACACCGGCTCTGACGCTCGTCGGATGTGGCAGGGCTAGCAAACTATCACGGATTACAAAGGGAAACCCAGCTGCGAGCTGTCCAGTGATGCGAACCTACCAGATGAGCTGTCCAGTGCGAGCTGCGAGCTGTCCAGTGATGCGAGCCTACCAGATGAGCTATATACAGTGGGGAGAACAAGTATTTGATAACCTGCAGATTTTGCAGGTTTTCCTACTTTTTAACATAGGTACACTTCAACTGTGAGAGACGGAATCTAAAACAAAAATCCAGAAAATCACATTGTATGAATTTTAAGTGATTAATTTACATTTTATTGCATGACATAAGTATTTGATCACCTACCAACCAGGCTCTCACAGACCTGTTAGTTTTTCTTTAAGAAGCCCTCCTGTTCTCCACTCATTACCTGTATTAACTGGACCTGTTTGAACTCGTTACCTGTATAAAAGACACCTGTCCACACACTCAATCAAACAGACTCCAACCTCTCCACAAGACCAGAGAGCTGTGTAAGGACATCAGGTCTAAAATTGTAGATCTGCACAAGGCTGGGACGGGCTACAGGACAATAGACAAGCAGCTTGGTGAGAAGGCAACAACTTTTGGCGCAATTATTACAAAATGGAAGAAGTTCAAGATGACGGTCAATCACCCTCGGTCTGGGGCTCCATGCAAGATCTCACCTCGTGGGGCATCAATGATCATGAGGAAGGTGAGGGATCAGCCCAGAACTACACGGCAGGACCTGGTCAATGACCTGAAGAGAGCTGGGACCACAGTCTCAAAGAAAACCATTAGTAACACCCTACGCCGTCATGGATTAAAATCCTGCAGCGCACGCAAGGTCCCCCTGCTCAAGCCAGCGCATGTCCAGGCCCGTCTGAAGGACTATCCAGAGGAGGAATGGGAGAAGGTAATGTGGTCTGATGAGACAAAAATAGAGCTTTTTGGTCTAAACTCCACTCGCCGTGTTTGGAGGAAGAAGGATGAGTACAACCCCAAGAACACCATCCCAACCGTGAAGCATGGAGGTGGAAACATCATTCTTTGAGGATGCTTTTCTGCAAAGGGGACAGGGTGACTGCACCGTATTGAGGGGAGGATGGATGGGGCCATGTATCGTGAGATCTTGGCCAACAACCTCCTTCCCTCAGTAAGAGCATTGAAGATGGGTCGTGGCTGGGTCTTCCAGCATGACAACGACCCGAAACACACAGCCAGGGCAACTAAGGAGTGGCTCCGTAAGAAGCATCTCAAGGTCCTGGAGTGGCCTAGCCAGTCTCCAGATCTGAACCCAATAGAAAATCTTTGGAGGGAGCTGAAAGTCCGTATTGCCTAGCGACAGCCCCGAAACCTGAAGGATCTGGAGAAGGTCTGTATGGAGGAGTGGGCCAAAATCCCTGCTGCAGTGTGTGCAAACCTGGTCAAGACCTACAGGAAACGTATGATCTCTGTAATTGCAAACAAAGGTTTCTGTACCAAATATTAAGTTCTACTTTTCTGATGTATCAAATACTTGCAATCATACAATGTGATTTTCTGGATTTTTGTTTTAGATTCCGTCTCTCACAGTTGAAGTGTACCTATAATACAAATTACAGACCTCTACATGCTTTGTAAGTAGGAAAACCTGCAAAATCGGCAGTGTATCAAATACTTGTTCTCCCCACTGTACTTTCTATGCACTCTTTGAGGCTAGCAACACTGAACAAATACTTTTCTCTCTGCTACTGCGCAACAAGCAGTACCGATGCTGGAACAAACAGGACCCTGAACAGCTTCTATCCCAAAGCTATAAGACTGCTAAATAGTTAGTTAAACAGTTAACCAATAGCTACCCGGAATATCTGCGTTGACCCTTTTTTACACTAATCTCTTTTGACTCATCACATACGATGCTTTTACTGTTTGTCTATCCCGTTGCCTAATAATAAGAATAATTTATTCAACTTATATAGCGCTTTTCAAAGAATCTCAAAGCGCTTCAAAGCACACAAAAAAAGACAAGTAATTTAGAAAAACAACATCACAACATCATGAGATGGACAGTCATTACAAGGTTAATGGCTTGAGGGAGGTGATCAAGCGGGGAGAGAAAGTCCGTAGGCAGGAAGCGCGGTCTTATCAAGGTGTCTAGCTGTCTCTGGCTTTTCTGTAGTAGAACTCAGTCAGATGAAGTTTGAGCTAAGCCACTGCAGTCCATAGACTCTGTAGTAGTTCACTACTACCAAAATGAAGCACCCACATGGATGATCCTACTGCAGGCACGTGGCGCCAGAAAGCACACCACATTTCAATAATAATTAAAGGGCAGCCTTTGTCTTCCTTTCGTTCCTCATCACTGCACCCTCTGTCTTCTTGCTTTTGGCATCTCTCCATCCTCAACCTCAGGACACTGGTTAGCATTGGAATCAATACAGCTAGCCAGCTAACATACAAATTACTTGCCAGCTTCAGGCTTAACGCTGTGGTGGATTCTGATTTATATTAATTAGCTATATTAATTGTTCATTCTTAAAACAAAAAGATTGTAGTTAAAAAATGCCATAAAAATGAATTAATTACAAAAATATTACGAAATGTACAGGAGCTCTCTGCTTAGGCTGCTGCTAGGGCGCCATGGCAACACTTTATCCCTACTGATAAAGGTTTCGTTTTTTCTATTCATATTTCAAGGTAGCACCGATTGGTGTCACCTAGTTAGTAAGTATGTGTTACACCTGTGCTGGCTTGTCCGTCTCATTAGTTGGAAGGTGTTTCACCTGTGCTAGCCCAGATGATATTTAAGAGTGGCTGGCCCAGTGCTCCAGTTGAGCTTGAGAGATGTTGGGAGAGCTGCTCTTCACGTCAGCTGAGGTGCGATTTCAGCTCAATCATTTAAGTTTGAAAGAAGCCAGATTTTTGGTGTTTCCCCTGTTTGTTTTGCTCCATATTCTTTTTACTCCCTATGCTAAGTTGTTGTGGGTTTTTCTTTTAGTTTGTCTTTTCGGAGGCAAACCTAGTGGGCATCCCTGATGGGTGTCTTTTAGAACCCCTTACTAGTGGCTTTGCCAACTTTCATTGGGCACCCACATGAGTTTTGTTTTTGGTTGTCAAAGAGATTTTCTTGTGAGCGACATTTTGAGTTGGTCTTGTGGGAACGTAACACTACCTATATCTACTGTAAGTGGGGACTATTGGACTTTATGTTGAGGAGGCCAAATATGGTAGGCTGCTAGCGTTGTGATGACTGGTCTAATTAATGAATAAAGCCTGAGAGTTGATTAGTCTGGTTCATGCAGCTATTTGCATGTTACTTTGCATTAGTGCAGCATAAACATTTTATATTATTGGTCCACGGGACCTGTCATTACTATTCTCAGGAAAGGGGAAGGAGCTTGGTTGGGAAGTCCCAGGATACCGGTCACCGGAATTAAACCCTAGCATGCATCCATCCATCCTTCTTTATAACTCAATGCCACTTATGATATGAAAACCACATATGTTGCACAATCCTGTTTGTCCTCCCCTATCTCTGTCCTCATCTGACAGATTTTTGTATACATTCTGCAGGAGGGTGTGAAATACGCTGTCCGCCTGCGTAACTATGGTAGCCGAACGGCCAATGGGGATGGCGGGATGACCACGGTTCAGTGTTCCGATGGCATGGCCTTCACATTCAGCACCTGTAGCCTGAGCAGCAACGGGACCAACCAGACCAGAGGACAGATACCACAGATACTGTACTACAGGTACACACACACCCACAGACACACACACACACACACACACACACACACACACACACACACACACACACACACACACACACACACTTCCATTACATGAGTGACATATCCAGGCTGCCACACACCCCTAAGACAATTTAAAGCCTCAAGTTGAGATTCATGTAATTTCCAATGCTAACAACCATTGCTGGTGCTAACACATGGGCGTGTGTGTCTTTGCCCGTAGGAGTGAGTATGACGGGGATCTGCAGTCCCAGCTGCTGAGCAAAGCCAATGAGGAGGACAAGAACTGCAGCAGAGCTCTCTCAGTGGTCAGTGCAGTGGTCAGAGCTGCCAAAGACCTCCTTCACAGGGCGTTCGCTGTGGATGGTAAGAACTGGGAGCTCTCTGTGAACAAGGCAAAACCTGTCAACCTTATTTTCATAATAAGTGACCTATGACAGGAAGGACATCGAACTATAGCCTATTGGCAAATTGTACACAAGCAGGTGTTTTCTCCATCTCCTTAGCTATCATACTCTAATTCCACTGATTTCAAAACTCGGTCCTCCAGAAAGTGGAGAGCAACACTTATGCAGTTCTACTACGTGATACATTAAAGAAAAAGCTGAGTTAGACAGGATAACCTACACATACTGCCCAGCTTAAATAGACAGAAGCACGCTATATGGCAGACCAATCATCTCTTGGCATGTCCAGCCCACTCATTATCTCAGCCAATCATAGCTAACAGGAAGGTTGCTGTCTTTTTCTGTGGCTAAACCAACTAGGCTCGTAATTTAACCATTGTATTCGTATTTACAGATGGCATACCTGTCTGCCAGTAAGGCACATGAAAGTTCACATGTTCCAGAAGGCATTTCTGCCAAAAAAAGTTTACGTTTAAATGGCTCTCCTGTGAAGTAGTGACCCGTGACATACGCCTAGTTTCCTGAAACGAGTCACATGAACTGTAACTCAAGTCAAATTGTTGAAATTGTCGCATGTTAATTTATATTTTTGTTCAGTGTATATATACCTACAGGGGCTCTAAAATTCCAAATCAAATAGCAAAATGATCTATGGTATGACCATCTTAAAACAATTCCATATGTTAGCTTAGTAGACCCCCCCCCCCCCCCCCCCCCCCCCCATTGTGCAATGACTAGGCTTGTAAGAACAGATGTTTCTCTCCATGCAGCAAACAGCTGTTTGATCTGCGTGCTCTCGCTGCCCGTGCGGTGCACGTGTGATAAATAAGATACAGCGAACTAACAAAAATACATGTGCCAATTTAATTCCACTACATTATTCAAATTAACCTATAATCCGATAATAAATGTATTTTGGCAGCTAACCGACTAATGGTTAACCATTAACATCCCTAGTTAGTAATACGTACCATGGCCCTATCGCTGCTGGTTTCCTATTAAGTCTACTCAAGCCCAGCTCAGTGAATCCCTACCATTGTGTCGCTGAGTTGCCATAATGCTTCAGAAAATGTACATTATCCCAGGGGCATTGGAAGACACAATGTAAGTAACCTAATTGATGTCCCTCTAACTGCTTGAATGCCTCTGCTGATCCTACAGCTATTGTATGCAGTAATCATGTGCCTATGAATGAAAGTTATACTGTTAGCACTGATGTGTGCCCTAGTAGGAAGTCCACTGTGTGCACTACTGCACTAACATAAATAACACGAGCATGTCTACTTCTGCTAAGCTTCCCAGGAAAGCAATGAAAACAATCAAGCATCCCAGAAAAGTGTTAAAAATAGCCCACGTTAACATATGTAGCTTAAGAAACAAGGTTCATTAAATCAATAATTTGCTAGTAACAGATGACATTCATATTCTGCCTATCTCTGAAACTCACTTAATACATTTGATACAGTGGTAGAAATATATGGTTATAACATCTACAGAAATGACAGAAATGCTAAAGGTGTTACCATTTATATTCAGAACCACATTCTGTAAAGCTTAGAGAGGATCTCATGTTAAATACAGTTGAAGTAATATGGCTACAGGTTCATCTGCCTCACCTAAAGCCCATTTTGGTGGGTAGCAGCTATAGGCTAACAGTCAGTATCTGGATAACTTGTGTGAAATGCTTGATAATGTATGTGATATCAACAGAGGTATATTTTCTGGGTGATTTAAATATTGACTGGCTTTCGTCAAGCTGCCCACTCAAGAAAAAGCTTCAAACTGTAACTAGTGCCTGCAACCTGGTTCAGGTTATCAGTCAACCTACCAGGGTAGTTGCATACTGCACAGGAATGAAATCCTCAACATGTATTGATCACATCTTTACTAATGCTGCAGAAATGTGCTTTAAAGCAGTATCCAAATCCATAGGATGTAGTGATCACAATATAGTAGCCAGACCTAGTGATTCCTATGTTGTTGATGTAAATAATATTTGTTGGTCTGTGGTGTCATGAGTAGCAACCAGACGCTGCACTTGACACTCCAGTTACTAATAAGCTTGCACCCATTAAGAAAATGACTATAAAAATGGTTAAATCCCCGTGGATTGATGAGTAATTGAAAACATTTATGGTTGAGAGGGATGCGGCAAAAGGAATGGCAAATAATTCTGTCTGCACAACCGATTGGCAAACGTATTGCAAATTGAGAAGTCATGTGACTAAACTGAATAAAAAGGAGAAACTATACTATGAAACAAAGATAAATGATATAAAGAATGATAGTGGTCCTCTGTAGCTCAGCTGGTAGAGCACGGCGCTTGTAACGCCAAGGTAGTGGGTTCGATCCCCGGGACCACCCATACACAAAAATGTATGCACGCATGACTGTAAGTCGCTTTGGATAAAAGTGTCTGCTAAATGGCATATTATTATTATTATAGTAAAAAGCTTTGGAGCGCCTTAAATGAAATTTTGGGCAAAAAGGCAAACTCGGCTCCATCATTCTTTGCATCAGGTGGCTCATTCATCATGATTTTTCATTGGCAAGATTAGCAAACTTGGGCATGAAATGTCAGCAACAAACGCTGATACTACACATCCAAGTATAACTGATCAAATTATGAAAGACAAGCATTGTAATTTTGAATTCCGTAAAGTGAGTGTGGAAGAAGTGAAAAAATTGTCTGTCAACAATGACAAGCCACTGGGGTCTGACAACTTGGATGGAAAATCACTCAGGATAATAGCAGACGATATTGCCACTCCTATTTGTCATATATTCAATCTAAGCCTTCTAGAAAGTGTGTGCCCTCAGGCCTGGAGGGAAGCAAAAGTCATTCTGCTACCCAAGATTAGTAAAGCCCCCTTTACTGGCTCAAATAGACGACCAATCCACTTGTTACCAACCCATAGTAAACTTTTTTATATTTTTATGTTGTGTTTGACCAGATACAATGCTATTTTACTGTAAACAAATTGACAGCAGACTTGCAGCACGCTTGTAGGGAAGGACATTCAACAAGCATGGCATTTATACAATTGACTGATGATTGGCTGAGAGAAAGTGATGATAAAAAGATTGTGGGAGCTGTTTTGTTAGACCTCAGTGCGGCTTTTGACATTATCAATCATAGTCTGCTGATGGAAAAATGTATGTGTTATGGCTTTACACCCCCTGCTATATTGTGGATAAAGAGTTACCTGTCTAACATAACACAGAGGGTGTTCTTTAATGGAAGTCTCTCCAACATAATCCATGTAGAATCAGGAATTCCCCAGGGCAGCTGTCTAGGCCCCTTACTTGTTCAATTTTTACTAATGACATGCCACTGGCCTTGAGTAAAGCCAGTGTGTCTATGTATGCGGAAGACGCAACACTATATACGTCAGCTACTAACCGAGTGAAATCACTGCAACACTCCCAGTCTACCTCACTTCATTTCTGTCCTGTAGATCTAGTGATTATCAGACACACTCCCAAAGTATGCTGCTTTGATGTTCCCCATGTCTCCTTTGAATTGGGCAAACCTGCTTTTAGTTAAAGTGTTCTTCATTCCTGGAATGACATTCCAAGATATATTAGAGTTGGATGTCCTGGTTTCATTAGGTCACTTTAAGACTTTAATACAGGACATTCATTGTGGACTGCACTTGTAAAATCTAATAATTTCTGCTATGTATGTAATTTTATCTGTTTGAACTGTTTGGATTGTTGATTGTTGTAACACATGGCACCATTGAAAAAGAGACCCTGGTCTCAACTGGGATTCCCTGTATAAATAATGGTTAAAACATTTAAAAAAGAAAACCAGCCCTATATGTCTGTGTAATTCAAACCTGTGCTCTTGTCTGCAGCGGAGGACATCCCTGAGCTGCTGAGCTCTTCCAGTCTGTTCTCCATGCTGCTCCCCCTCATCCTGGCCTACATCGGCCCTGTGGCTACCTCAGTACCCAAGGTGAGATGTGGTTAAATGTTGTCTGTGAAATAGGTTATACTTTTTTTTACTGCTGTATCTAGTCAAAGGTCCCCAAGGTGAGAGTAAGGATTTTTTTTTTCTAGATTAACTACATTGATCCAGCCTAACACTCTTTTTGAAGCTACAGCTTCAGGCCTGGAGGGAAGCTAAAGTCATTCCGCTACCTAAGAATAGCAAAGCACCCTTTACTGGCTCAAACAGCCGACTAATCAGCCTCCTATCAACCCTTAGTAAACTTTTGGAAAATATGGTTTGACCAGATACAATGCTATTTCACAGTAAACAAATTAACAACTGACTTTCAGTATGCTTATTGGGAGGGGCACTCAACATGTACAGCACTTACACAAATGACTGATGATTGGCTGAAATAAACTGTTTTGTTAGAGTTCAGTGCAGCTGTTGACATTATTGATCATAATCTGCTGCTGGAAAATGTATGTGTTATGGCTTTACATACCCTGCTATATCGTGGATTGAGAGTTACCTGTATCAGGACACAGAGGGTGTTCTTTAATGGAAGCATCTCCCAACGTAATCCAGGTAGTGTCAGGCATTCACCAGGGCAGTTGTCTAGGCCCCTTTACTAATGAACTGGCACTGAGTAAAGCCTGTGTAGCTACGTCAGCTACCACAGCAAGTGAAATCACTGTAAAACTTAACAAAGAGCTGCAGTCAGTTTTAGAATGGATAAGCTAGTACCAAATATTTTTTAAAAAACTGAAAGCATCGTATTTGGGACAAACTACACCCTAAACCTCAACTGACTCTTGTAATAAATAATTTGTAAGTTGCGGAGACTAAACTGCTTGGTGTAACTCTGGATTGTAAACTGTCATGGTCAAAACATATTGATGCAATGGTAGCTAATTTGGGGAGAAGTCTGACCATAATAAAGTGCTGCTCTGCTTTCTTGACAAGGCTATCAACAAAACAAGTCCTACATGCCCAAGTTTTGTCGCACCTGGACTACTGTCCAGTCATATGGTCAAGTGCCACAAAGAGGGACATACACTACCGGTCAAAGGTTTTAGAACACCTATTCATTCAAGGGTTTTTCTTTATTTGTGCTATTTTCTACATTGTTTAATAATAGTGAAGACATCAAAACTTTGAAATAACACACATGGAATCATGTAGTAACCAAAAAAGTGTTAAATAAATGAAAATATATGTTATATTTGAGATTCTTCAAATAGCCACCCTTTGCCTTGATGACAGCTTTGCACACTCTTGGCATTCTCTCAACCAGCTTCACCTGGAATGCTTTTCCAACAGTCTTGAAGGAGTTCCCACATATGTTGAGCCCTTGTTGGCTGCTTTTCGTTTACTCTGCGGTCCGACTTATCCCAAACCATCTCAATTTGGTTGAGGTCGGGGGATTGTGGAGGCCAGGTCTTCTGATGCAGAACTCCATCACTCTCCTTCTTTGTCAAATAGCCCTTAACAGCCTTGAGGTGTGTGTTGGGTCATTGTCCTGTTGAAAGACAAATAATAGTCCCACTAAGCCCAAACCAGATGGGATGGCGTATCACTGCAGGATGCTGTGGTAGCCATGCTGGTTAAGTGTGCCTTGAATTCTAAATAAATCACAGACAGTGTCACCAGCAAAGCCACCCCCACACTATAAGACCACCTCATCCATGCTTTACAGTGGGAAATACACATGCGGAGATCATCCGTTCACCTACACCGCGTCTCACAACACATTTCCACCGGTCTAATGTCCATTGCTTGTGTTTCTTGGCCCAAGCAAGTCTCTTCTTCTTATTGGTGTCCTTTAGTAGTGGTTTCGTTGCAGTAATTCGACCCATGAAGGCCTGATTCACACAGTCTTCTCTGAACAGTTGATGTTGAGATGTGTCAGTTACTTGAACTCTGTGAAGCATTTATTTGGGATGCAATTTCTGAGGCTGGTAACTCTAATGAACTTATCCTCTGCAGCATAGGTAACTCTGGGTCTTCCATTCCTGTGGCTCATGAGAGCCAGTTTCGTCATAGCACTTGATGGTTTTTGCGACTGCACTCGTTTCTCTTTGCTTATTTGAGCTGTTCTTGCCATAATATGGACTTGGTATTTTACCAAATAGGGCTATCTTCTTGTCACAACACTACTGATTGGCTCAAACGCATTAAGAAGGAAAGAAATTCCACACATTAACTTTTAAGGCACACCAGTTAATTGAAATGCATTCCTGGTGTCTGTCTCATGAAGCTGGTTGAGAGAATGCCAAGAGTGTGCAAAGCTGTCATCAAGGCAAAGCGTGGCTACTTTGAAGAATCTCAAATCTCAAATATATGATTCCGTTTGTGTCATTTCATAGTTTTGATGTCTTCACTATTATTCTACAATGTAGAAAATAGTACAAATAAAGAAAAATCCTTGAATGAGTAGGTGTTCTGAAACCTTCGACCGGTACTGTAGGAAAAATACAGTTGGCCCAGAACAGAGCACCACGGCTGGCCCTTAAATGTACACCGAGAGCTAACATCAATTACATGCATGTCAATCTCTCCTGGCTCAAAGTAGAGGAGAGATTGACTACATCACTACTTGTCTTTGTGAGAGGGATTGACATGTTGGGAGTACCGAGCTGTCTGTTCAATTGACTAGCGCACAGCTCAGACACCCATGCATACCCCACAAGACATGCCACCAGGGGTTTCTTCCCGGTCCCCAAGTCCAGAACAGACTCCGGGAAACGGCCAGTACTACACAGAGTTATGACTACATGGAACTCTATTCCACATCAAATAACTCATGCAAACCTGAACATTTAATTGAAAAAACACAAAACTACACCTTAAGGAACAATGTGGACTGTGTGTGAAGAGATGCAAAGTGGCTTGCGAAACTATTCACCCCCCTTGGCATTTTTCCTATTTTGTTGCCTTACACCCTGAAATTAAAATATATTTTTTGGGGCTTTGTATCATTTGATTTACACAACATGCATACCACTTTGAAGATGCAAAATATGTGTTATTGTGAAACAAACAAGAAATAAGACAAAAAAACAGAACCTGAGCGTGCATAACTATTCACACCCCCCAAAGTCAATACTTTGTAGAGCCACCTTTTGCAGCGATTACAGCTGCAAGTCTCTTGCTCTCTATAAGCTTGGCACATCTAGCCACTGGGATTTTTGCCAATTCTTCAATGCAAAACTGCTCCAGCTCCTTCAAGTTGGATGGGTTCCGTTGGTGTACAGCAATCTTTAAGTCATACCACAGATTCTCAATTGGATTGAGGTCTGGGCTTTGACTAGGCCATTCCAAGACATTTCCCCTTAAACCACTCGAGTGTTGCTTTAGCAGTATGCTTAGGGTCATTGTCCTGCTGGATGGTGAACCTCTGTCCCAGTCTCAAATCTCTAGAAGACTGAAACAGGTTTCCCTCAAGAAATTCCCTGTATTTAGCGCCGTCCATCATTCCTTCAATTCTGACCATTTTCCCAGTCCCTGCCGATGAAAAACATCCCCACAGCATGATGCACCACACCATGCTTCACTGTGGAGATGGTGTTCTCGGGGTGATGAGAGGTGTTGGGTTTGCGCCAGACATAGCGTTTTCCTTGATGGCCAAAAAGCTCAATTTTAGTCTCATCTGACCAGAGTACCTTCTTCCATATGTTTGGGAAGTCTCCCACATGCTTTTTGGCGAACACCAAACGTGTTTGCTTATTTTTTTCTTGAAGCAATGGCTTTTTTCTGGCCACTCTTCCGTAAAGCCCAGCTCTGTGGAGTGTACGGCTTAAAGTGGTTCTATGAACAGATACTCCAATCTCCGCTGTGGAGCTTTGCAACTCCTTCAGGGTTACCTTTGGTCTCTTTGTTGCCTCTCTGATTAATGCCCTCCTTGCCTGGTCTGTGAGTTTTGGTGGGCGGCCCTCTCTTGGCAGGTTTGTTGTGGTGCCATATTTTTTCCAGTTTTTAATAATGGATTTAATGGTGCTCCGTGGGATGTTCAAAGTTTCGGATTTTTAAAAATAAGCCAACCCTGATCTGTACTTCTCCACAACTTTGTCCCTGACCTGTTTGGAGAGCTCCTTGGTCTTCATGGTGCCGTTTGCTTGGTGGTGCCCCTTGCTTAGTGGTGTTGCAGACTCTGGGGCCTTTCTGTGTATGCCACCTGCATACACACACAAACCAGACAGCCCACACACACAGCATTCTCACACTCACACATCACCCCCACCAATACACACACACACACACAGCCAAACACAGACATCTCAGCATCCCCAAACACACACTCACACACTACACACACCACACTACACACACACACACACACACACACACACACACACACACACACACACACACATCCTAACACAGACACACACTTCTCAATAAGTCTGAACAGTAACACAGAAGGCTACACTATTAGTCTAATAACATAGCTTACTTCTAAGGTAGGCCTACACCTGAGTTGGGTTACATTGTAATGTTATGTTTGGTGTTGATAAGTTACTGTAGTGATGGGAGGGTAAACTACCCCGTTTCCGAGTGAGCTGCCTGCTAGCCACCTGCACAGAAAGATAGATGGGACACATTTTCAATTCACTGGTATGTAGCTATGTTTTTATCAATTGTAGGGCAGAAGCCACTGAATTCTGGTAGTTTACACCGCAAAGCAGCACTGCCTCTCACCCAGAGCGTTACCTCAGCAAATGGCATCAAGCTAACAAACACTCCCTCACACTAGCTAGCATCTCGTCATAAAAACGGGTGGCGCCATGTTTGTTTGGACCAATCCCTGACAACCCATACACCAGAATGTAGCTACAAAGTAGTACTTTGTAAGCTGCTATGCTTTTGTCTCTGAAAAGATCAATGACAGAAGCAAAGGAAAAAAAGTTTGACCTTATAATTTATTCAAAGGACATCTGTTGACTATAAAACACCATCAGGACTTTCCCATACTTGTTGGCAATAAAATGTCACATCGAGCTTACTAAAATGGAGTGAGGAACACACCGATTTCGCGGGTTTCATAAAAAAGGCTGTCCTGCAGAATTGAATGTTCTAAGCACGGCACTTACTTTACATTTGGGCTCATATCATGTAAATATCATAATGTACAGTATGTGATTTTTAGACATGGTTAAAAAAACTTCCACTTTCATGTTTTCAAATGATTTATTATGTATTTTGACGACCACATGGTTGACATTTAATGAAAATCTCACATAACGTCCATTGTTTGTTACGTCACCTAACACCCTACCTATGTGTTTAGATGTAAATGTGATTAAAGACCATACACGCAATACACAGAGGGTCATCGTCCTGCTTTCAGACATCAACATCATCTAAGTCTACCTTTTAAGTGAAAGAACCATTGTGATTCATTTAATGTTTTTTCCTCATTCCTCATCAGGCTGCAGTGGAAGTCTTTGGTCTGGTCCAGGAGTTACTTCCTGCTGCCTCTGCTCTGAACCAGAAGTATTCCCCACCGGCTTTCAACCCCAACCAATCAACAGACAGCACCACGGGCAACCTGCCTGAGCAGGGCCTATCAGCTTGCACCACCTCCAGTCACTATGCTGTGATAGAGAGCGACCACCCTTACAAGCAGGCCGGAGTCGCGCAGTATAAGGTAACGCACACACGCTCACTGGCACACAACACACACACACGCACACACACACACACACACACACACACACACACACACACACACACACACACACACACACACACACACACACACACGGTACAGTAGGACTATTTCCAACATAAGAATTCTTAGTCAATGGTAAATAAAAAAGTACATGTAAAACTACAGTGGGGAAAAAAAGTATTTAGTCAGCCACCAATTGTGCAAGTTCTTCCACTTAAAAAGATGAGAGGCCTGTCATTTTCATCATAGGTACACGTCAACTATGACAGACAAATAGAGAAAAAAAATTCCAGAAAATCACATTGTAGGATTTTTAATGAATTTATTTGCAAATTATGGTGGAAAATAAGTATTTGGTCACCTACAAACAAGCAAGATTTCTGGCTCTCACAGACCTGTAACTTCTTCTTTAAGAGGCTCCTCTGTCCTCCACTCGTTACCTGTATTAATGGCACCTGTTTTAACTTGTTATCAGTATAAAAGACACCTGTCCACAACCTCAAACAGTCACACTCCAAACTCCACTATGGTCAAGACCAAAGAGCTGTCAAAGGACACCAGAAACAAAATTGTAGACCTGCACCAGGCTGGGAAGACTGAATCTGCAATAGGTAAGCAGCTTGGTTTGAAGAAATCAACTGTGGGAGCAATTATTAGGAAATGGAAGACATACAAGACCACTGATAATCTCCCTCGATCTGGGGCTCCACGCAAGATCTCACCCCGTGGGGTCAAAATGATCACAAGAACGGTGAGCAAAAATCCCAGAACCACACGGGGGGACCTAGTGAATGACCTGCAGAGAGCTGGGACCAAAGTAACAAAGCCTACCATCAGTAACACACTACTCCGCCAGGGACTCAAATCCTGCATTGCCAGACGTGTCCCCCTGCTTAAGCCAGTACATGTCCAGGCCCGTCTGAAGTTTGCTAGAGTGCATTTGGATGATCCAGAAGAGGATTGGGAGAATGTCATATGGTCAGATGAAACCAAAATAGAACTTTTTGGTAAAAACTCAACTCATCGTGTTTGGAGGACAAAGAATGCTGAGTTGCATCCAAAGAACACCATACCTACTGTGAAGCATGGGGGTGGAAACATCATGCTTTGGGGCTGTTTTTCTGCAAAGGGACCAGGACGACTGATCCGTGTAAAGGAAGGAATGAATGGGGCCATGTATCGTGAGATTTTGAGTGAAAACCTCCTTCCATCAGCAAGGGCATTGAAGATGAAACGTGGCTGGGTCTTTTAGCATGACAATGATCCCAAACACACCTCCCGGGCAACGAAGGAGTGGCTTCGTAAGAAGCATTTCAAGGTCCTGGAGTGGCCTAGCCAGTCTCCAGATCTCAACCCCATAGAAAATCTTTGGAGGGAGTTGAAAGTCCGTGTTGCCCAGCGACAGCCCCAAAACATCACTGCTCTAGAGGAGATCTGCATGGAGGAATGGGCCAAAATACCAGCAACAGTGTGTGAAAACCTTGTGAAGACTTACAGAAAACGTTTGACCTGTGTCATTGGCAACAAGGGGTATATAACAAAGTATTGAGAAACTTTTGTTATTGACCAAATACTTATTTTCCACCATAATTTGCAAATAAATTCATAAAAAATCCTACAATGTGATTTTCTGGATTTTTTTTTCTCATTTTGTCTGTCATAGTTGACATGTACCTATGATGAAAATTACAGGCCTCTCTCATCTTTTTAAGTGGGAGAACTTGCACAATTGGTGGCTGACTAAATACTTTTTTTCCCCACTGTATGTGTGTGTGTGTATGTATGTGTGTGTGTATATATATATATATATATATATATATATATATATTCACACTCACACTACCGGTCAAATGTTTTAGAACACCTACTCATTCAAGGGTTTTTCTTAATTTTTACTATTTTCTATATTGTAGAATAATAGTGACGACATAAAAACTATGAAATAACACATATTGAATCATGTGGTAACCAAAAAAGTGTTAAACAAATCAAAATATGTTTTATATTTGAGATTCTTCAAATAGCCACCCTTTGCCTTGATGACAGCTTTGCACACTATAAACACAACATGCAACAATTTAAGGAAATCAGTCAATTGAAATAAATACATTAGACCCTAATCTATGGATTTCACATGACTGGGAATAAAGATATGCATCTGTTGGTCACATATACCTTAAAAAAAAGGTAGGGGCGTGGATCAGAGAACCAGTCAGTACCACCATTTGCCTCAAGCAGCGTGACACATCTCCTTCTTATAGAGTTGATCAGGCTGATTATTGTGGCCTGTGGAATGTTGTTCCACTACTCTTCAATGGCTGTGCGAAGTTGTTGGATATTGGCGGAAACTGGAACACGCAGTTGTACACGTCAATCCATAGCATCCCAAACATGCTCAATGGGTGACATGTCTGGTGAGTATGCAGGACATGGAAGAACTGGGACATTTTCAGCTTCCATGAATTGTGCACAGATCCTTGCGACATGGCACAGTGCATTATCATGCTGAAACATGAGGTGATGGCGGCGGATGAATGGCACGACAAATAAAATGCAATTGTGTTCGTTCTCCGTAGCTTATACCTGCCCATACCATAGCCCCACCGCCACCATGGGTAACTCTGTTCACAACGTTGACATCAGCAAACCGCTCGCCCACACAACGTCGTACACGCTAGTCTTAGACGATCCCGGATGTGGAGGTCCTGGGGCTGGCGTGGTTACATGTGGTCTGCGGTTGTGAGGCCGGTTGGATGACCTGCAAAATTCTCTAAAATGACATGGGAGGTGGCTTATGGTAGAGAAATTAACATTCAATTATCTGGCAACAGCTCTGGTGAACATTCCTGCAGTCAGCATGCCAATTGCACGCTCCCTCAAAACTTGAGACATCTGTGGCATTGTGTTGTGTGACAAAACTGCACATTTTAGAGTGGCCTTTTATTGTCCCCAGAACAAGGTGCACCTGTGTATTGATCATGCTGTTTAATCAGCTTCTTGATATGACACACCAGTCAGGTGGATGGATTATCTTGGCAAAGGAGAAATGCTCACTAACAAGGATGTAAACAAATGTGTGCACAGAATTTGAGTGAAATAAGCTTGAAAATGCTTGAAACATAGGACCAACACTTTACATGTTACTTTTATATTTTTGTTCATTGTGTGTATATATACAGTGCATTCGGAAAGTATTCAGTCCCCTTGACTTATTCTAAAATGTATTAAATAGTTTTTTTTCCCCTCATCAATCTACACACAATACCCCATAATGACAAAGCAAAAATTGGTTTTTAGAAATGTTAGCAAATATATTTAAAAAATAATAATAACTGAAATATCTTATTTATATAAGTATTCAGACCCTTTACTCAGTACTTTGTTGAAGCACCTTTGGCAGCGATTACAGACTCAAGTCTTCTTGGGTATGACGTTACAAGCTTGGCACACCTGTATTTGGGGAGTTTTTCCCATACTTCTCTGCAGATCCTCTCAAGCTCTGTCAGGTTGGATGGGGAGCGTCGCTGCACAGCTATTTTCAGGTCTCCCCCAGAGATGTTAGTTCGGGTTCAAGTCCGGGCTCTGGCTGGGCCACTCAAGGACATTTAGAGACTTGTCCCGAAGCCACTCCTGCTTGCCTTGGCTGTGTGCTTAGGGTCGTTGTCCTGTTGGAAGGTGAACCTTCGCCCCAGTCTGAGATCCTGAGCGCTCTGGAGCAGGTTTTCATCAAGGATCTCTCTGTACTTTGCTCCGTTCATCTTTTTCTCGATCCTGACTAGTCTCCAACCCCTGCCGCTGAAGAAAATCCCCACAGCATGATGCTGCCACTACCATGCTTCACTGTAGGGATGGTGCCAGGTTTCCTCCAGATGTGATGCTTGGCATTCAGGCCAAAGAGTTCAATCTTGGTTTCATCAGACCAGAGAATCTTGTTTTTCATGGTCTTTCTGCCAAAATCCAAGCGGGCTGTCATGTGCCTTTTACTGAGGAGTGGCTTCCGTCTGGCCACTCTACCATAAAGGCCTGATTGGTGGAGTGCTGCAGAGATGGTTGTCCTTCTAGAAGGTTCTCCCATCTCCACAGAGGAGCTCTGTCAGCGTGACCATCAGGTTCTTGGTCACCTCCCTGACCAAGGCCCTTCTCCACCGATTGCTCAGTTTGGCCGGTCAGCCAGCTCTAGGAAGAGTCTTGATGGTTCCAAATATCTTCCATTTAAGAGTGATGGTGGCCGCTGTGTTCTTGGGGACCTTCAATGCTGCAGAATGTTTTTAGTACCTTTCCCCAGATCTGTGCCTCAACACAATCCTGTCTTGGAGCTCTACGGACAATTCCTTCGACCTCATGGCTTGGTTTTTGCTCTGACATGCACCGTCAACTGTGGGACCTTCATATAGACAGGTGTGTGCCTTTCCAAATCATGTCCAATTAATTGAATTTACCACAGGTGGACTCCAAGTGGTATGAACATGTCAAGGATGATAAATGGAAATAGGATGTACCTGAGCTTAATTTCGAGTATCATAGAAAAGGGTCTGAATACTTACGTAAATTAGGTATTTTTTTATTTTTATTTTTTATACATTTGGAAAAATGTCTAAAAACCTGTTTTCGCTTTGCTATTATGGGGTGTAGATTGATTAGGGAAAACATTTATTTAATACATTTTAGAATATGGCTGTAACGTAAAAAAATGTGGAGAAAGGGGTCTGAATACTTTCCAAATGCACTGTGGGTGTGTATATAAAATATATACTCAGCAAAAAAAGAAACGTCCCTTTTTCAGGACCCTGTCTTTCAAAGATATTTCGAAAAAATCAAAAGAACTTCATAGATCTTCATTGTAAAGTGTTTAAACACAGTTTCCCATGCTTGGTGGTCCTCTGTAGCTCAGCTGGTAGAGCACGGCGCTTGTAACGCCAAGGTAGTGGGTTCGATCCCCGGGACCACCCATACACAAAAATGTATGCACGCATGAC